ACTGCACCCAGTGCACCGCAGATCATTCTTTGACTCCAGACACACTGGAGCCATTTTCCTTGACTTCTGTCATTTTTGGTCAGTCTTGGACATACCTGTGGACCTCCCACTTACCTTTTGTAGGCTCTTGGCCTCCCCCTCAGACTTGGACTCGACTTCTGCTGCTTTGCACTAGAAAGTGAAAGTCAGTGAAGTCAGAAGAAAGAAAAAAAGAAGTTGACTTACCTTGCCCATGGCCTTCTCCACAGCTGCCCTGGCATGCTCCACTGCAACCTGCGCTGCCTCCTCTTCCATTTTCTTCCATTCCTCCTCAGCCTCCTCAGTGACCAATGCTGCCTGGTAATCTCGCTCAAGCTCCTCTTTCTCTCTTGCCCTTTTCTCCTCCTCTCATCACCACTGCTGTTCTTCATGCTGCTCAAGTATTTGAGCAGCAGTGAGAGGTGCCCAGTAACTGGGCCCCATGGATGGCCTGGCCATTGCAATTGGTTTTTGAGGTGTGGATTTTGGATCCATGGAGAGTAGATGATGGGGGTATAAAAGAAGAAGAAATTTTATTATTTCAAATTTTTATATAGGCTTGTCATGTTTGAACCTTTCCGTTCCATCCCTAACACCTAGTTTGGTGTCTACTTGTCTCATTTCATGATTACTTGTTTTATCTTTAATTACTACCAGATTTGGTATTGCATACATTCCACAGGCTATATATCCTAGCAATGTTTGTACATACAATCCCATCAGAAAATCAACTAAGTCCTCCCCCAGTTACTTAACATATATCCCACTTTAACTCTCATCTCTGAAACACAATGCTAACAACCTCGTCAGAGCCTGCAGGGTTTCTGACTGACCTCCCGACCTATCACCCATCACCCATTGACCTATCAACTACACCCAGACTCCATTCTCATCTGCCTATCTCACCCATTGACCTATCAACTACACCCAGACTCCCCGGGTTTCCCATCCACCTGTCAGAAGTTGGACACCACAATCTCGCGAGGGCACAGCCTATAAGCTGAAGCCAAGTCCTACTGGAATATCCACAGGTTTCTCTGGAAACACTCTGTGAGCCTGCACAACCCTTAACAATATGTAGATGTGTTATTGTTACAACCGGAAAACTTGCTGGACTCTGGGCACTAACTTATATGCACCCACACCCTACATGCACCAGTCATCAGTTTACCAGAATCCCCACTGGACTCCGGACATCAGACCTGTCCATGCTCAACCTTCGTCACTTCATGTATCAGTCACCGGAATACCCACCAGGACCCACTCCTGTCTATCTCTGACCCTGTCCCATGCACCAGTCACCAGACTCCTCTCAGAAAACCTACCTGAGCCCCATTCCCGTTATGGTCAAATGACCTGTCACATTTCGGACTCCACTCCCACCCCATTTCCATTATGGTCTAATGACCTGTCACATTTCAGACTCTGCTCCGTTCCATTCCTAACACCAAGTTTGGTGTTTACTTATCTCATTTCATGTTTACTAGTTTAGATTTCATTATTACTGGATTTGGTAGGACAGACATTCCACAGTCTATATAGTCTGGCAGATGTTGTACATACATGTTAGGATACACACACAGGCCGGGTTTCCGGAGAAACCCGCGGGATATCCGGAGAAACCCGCGGGATATCCGGTAGGACTTGGCTTCAGCTTATAGGCTGCGCCCTCACTAGATCGTGTTGTCCAATTTCAAACGGACAGACAGGGATCCCGGGGAATCCGGGCGGGGTTCGTGGGTCGTAAGTTGTAAGTTGGGGGTCGTGGGTCGTGAGTCGAGTTGGTTGAGAGAGATAGATGCGCCGGAGCCCGTGGGCTCCGACTAGTGCGAGCGATGTGAATCGAGTAAGGTTTTAGAGCGGAAAATATTATTAGATTACTGGGGGGAATCTAAGCTAATTTTCTGACTGGATTGTATGTACAACATCTGCCAGTTTATATAGACCGTGGAATGCATGACATACCAAATCCAGTAATAACGAACAAAAACTAACAAAACATGAAACGGGAATAGTAAACACCAAATTGGTGTTAGGAACGGAACGGAGCAGAGTCCGAATCGTGACAAAGCATAACCCATAACGGGAAACGGAGCGGGAGCAGAGTCCTAAATCGTGACAGGTCATTTGACTAAAACAGGAATGGGGCTCGATTAGAGCGGTGACGGGATTCTAAGCGGGGACCGGTGACTGATGCATGGGACGAAGACGGACATAGACAGAGACAGAGTCCGGGGGAAGTCCGGTGACTGATATGTGTTGTAATGAGGTCAAACGTAACGAGTCTTGACATAACGGAGTCCGGGCGGGAAATCCTATAAACAGACGATTGGTGCTTGTAGCGCATGGGGGCGTATGGGTTAGTGCCTGGAGTCCGGCGGGATTGTCCGGTCGTAACAATACAATCCAGTCAGAAAATCAGCTTGGATTCTCCCCAGTAATCTCAGTACATTTTCCGCTCTAATCTCCTCTTGGAAACACATTGCTCTTTACCTCATCAGAGCCCACGGGTTCTGACCCATCTATCACTTGACCTCTGACCTATCTATCTTGACCCCCGACTCATTTCCACCTGACCCCTCGACTTCCATGGGATTCCCACAGTTGACCCTCCAACCTTACAACCCACCAACTACTCCCAGACTCCCTGGGATTCCCATCCACCATCTGAAATTGGACAACACGATCTCTTGAGGGTGCAGCCTATAAGCTAAAGCCAAGTCCTACTGGCTTTCCTGTGGGTTTCTCTGGAAACCCTCTGATAAGCTCTGTGCACAACCTTTAACAGTTATGCCCTCAGATAACTGTCCAGATGCTCCAGTGTTTTATGTGAGGTCCAAAATTATGCAAAGAGAGAGGGGCAGAGGACCCAGGGCTTCTGAGCAAATGATGTTTGGTTGGAGGACCCACAGGTTCTGGGAATACACTGGTATAGAGTTTACTAGGGAAAATAGGTAAAACACTAGGTGTGAAGTCAAATTTCTGATCAGATTGTAAGTACAGACATTTACTTGACTATATATGTAGTACTAAGGCTTATTGTACTACTAATCTGGCAAGATAAAGAGACAAAACAGGCAAACAAGAAACAAGGCAGGGTTGACCATTCTAAGAACAAAGGTTGGGGCAGAACAGGAGAAAATGCAGGAGCATAATAAACCAGATGTCAAACCTACTCAGGAACAGATTGGGGAAAAGATCTTCAAGCATCTAAGTGGTCCAGTTGGTGAATAATCTTGTAAATAGGGAGGTAGGTGTTGACATGGTAGGAACCAGGTTCCAGCAGGTTTCCTGGTCTTAATAAGAACAAAGACATGGACAAATGGCTCTAGTAGTCAGGTACAGCATATTGGGTAGTTGGAGGAGACCTAAACTAGAGGCAAAGGATTGTTCTAAAAGGAAATACTGGTGACCAGTATATTTTTGGAAGCCCTCAGGTTCCAAGACAGGGTGAGTGAAATGAACATTTTCTTGGAGGAGCCTCAGATTCCAGAGCAAAGGGGAAATTGTTAGAGTACATACATTGCAAGCCGTTGACACGTTTTATCTCAACGCTCGGCTATTTTGTACTTTACAGTAGCTTAGTCATCACATGTATTTCAGTAGGGACTTTGTCATCCCCTCTCCCACATGAAATCCTGTTGCATATTCTTACAGAAATGACTTGTGAAAGTGACTGGAGTTGAAGCAGGAGAAGATAGTAAGAAGGGGCAGGGTTCAGGGTCCCAGGCAGAGTCTGGGCACAGGTTTAACAGAATGGAACAACCAAAGTGGAAGGTTCTAAATCAATATTTGAACTGGAAAATAGTTGAATACAAGACAATAATTTATACAGCAACATTCAATAACAGATAGATGGGTGGAAGGGAAGGGAAGTTGGGGGGGGATGAGTATAAATGAGAATAAATGGGGAGCTGGAATGTGCAGGAGCCCCAATATGATATGGGAACACATAGAACAGGTAACAAAAGAGCATCAGAATGGAGATGGAATGGAATGATAAAAAGGGAAATTTACAGTAAACCAAATGTCAGGGCACCATGGGCAGTGACACCATGGGCAGGGGTGCCAATAGCAGAGTGCTGTAAGCCTGGCGCCCCAGTCTTACTCATTCCTTTTGTTCCACTCCTTTGTTCTCATTGTCCTTTTGTTCCACTCCCTTGTTCCACTCCCTTTGTTCTACCACGTGATCATAGCATATAAAGCCTAGGTAGTTTTCCTTCTCTTACCTTACCGTACGCTGCACTTGCCTGTATCCTGTCTTGTTCTGGACAATACACCGTGGTCCTGTCAACTCGTGTGACCGCCAGTGATCCCAATTGACGATGGGATTACAAGTGCAGAGGGTTATAAAGGTGACACAAGCTTGTGGAGGTTAGAATATACTTAACTGGGAGGTCTGGTTCTACAGGACAAGTGGAGCTTGGCTTCAACTTATGTATTGTGCCCTCACACAAACCATTGGGGTGCTCTGGTATTTCAGAACAGGCAAGTAGTACATAATAGACTAAAAGTCCACACTTAGCTTAATCAAGTGGGAGGCGAGAAAGCTAAGATTCAGAGTGATAAGAGTCTTGTGCTGTGGGCAGTGATGCCATAATTTGGGGTAGCAATACTGGGTTGCCAGAGGGCCATCAGGGTGAAAACAACCTGTGGGGGCCCAAAAAAGTGAGGATCCTAACACTTCAAGAGGAACAAATTGGGGAAGAGTGAAAATCCTATTCCAAGACACAGATATGACTGCGATGTAATGTTTATGGACACTATTATTGACCAATAAGTGAGTATTCAGGTCCAGTTGCAAAGACAGACAGACTTGTGTGACTTTTGAGTTCAATGAATTCAAAAAGTATATAAAGTAAATAATTATAAAGAATTACAGTAATAAATTTAATTAAGTTTCTGAGATAGATCACATGCCCTGATAAATACTTAGAATCGCTGACACAGAGGAAAGCTGCGTTAAAAGTGTAGACAATGAATGGCCAGACTGGGGATTGAACCCAGGGCTTCTTCTGCATATGTATATAGCAAGGATGTTACCAATTACACCACCTGACTAACTGGGTCACAGTGCTAGCATTATACAATCTAACAAGTCATGGGGTATGTGGGGGCTTGCTCCCTACCACAAACATACAAGATCAGTTTGGACAATACTTCAACTTGACTTCAACATTTCAACTCAACATTCTTTCAACACTATTTGACTTGATTTCCTACTCAACTTCTGACTTGTCTCAGTTTGACCTCATTTATGATTTCATTGTTATGTCATACAATAGTCATTTGTTTACACTAAAAGGCATAAAAGGGCAATGAGAGGAATGAGGGTAGTCAGCCAGAAAATCTGTACCAAAAAACCTATATCTCATCTGTCACATTTGTATTCATAATTCTTGTATTCTTACTGTATTATATCTATCATCAAACCTTCCCATGATATTTTCTAGAAATCTCTATGTGAGGTCCATCTCTGGCCTCATGCTTCATCTGCAGGATGAACCAATACTTCATTGAAAGAGGCATTCTGTACTCAACATTATTGAAGGCACTCAATGATAGTTTGATAAGTGTCAAGAAGATCCAATCTGTGTCAGTATTTTCTGACTACTACTGTTGATGAAACCTAGGACATGATCTGAGACTGCCATAGTTTGAACATAAAATACAAACCCAAGAACAACTTCGACTTCGAAACTGATTCAGGCCTGGGGAATAACTAGCACTACAACTGAAGTTCAACCACCTTTGATGATTGCTGGATCTGATGGTCAATTACTTTCTGCCAAGTGAAAAAGAACTTTTAAAGAAGGATTATGTATTCTATGTATTTGAAGAAAAAGGGCATTGAGCAAGAAATTTTCTGAAATAACAATCTCAACCAGGAGCAAAAAGCAAAAGGAATATTTGTCAGATGTCAAAATATGACAACTCAGTCCAATAAAAATTCAACTTGTAATTTTTGGTCAAATCAAGAGTTGAAAACCCAATTGAAAAATTAAATAAGGACACTCTTCAGATATGTGTGGAGTATCAAAGGAAATTCAATCATGTGACAAAAAATCCAAATTTAATATCATGAGCAGTAACAATTTCTGATTCTTTATTTAAGCTTAAATCAGATAAAAGTCCAAAAATGAAAGCATTGATTGATTCATGATCTTTCTCATCTATTTATTAACAAAACATTTCCCTAACATAAGAATCTTGTGTATGATCAACCCAACAACCTGCTCTCTTTAAAATTAATTGAGAGATCTATTCTAACATCTGAGACAATTACACATATGACCACATTATGAGTTTATTTTCCATCTAGACAAGCTCAAGATCTACATTTTTTTTTAAACCAATCTGGACTCATCTTGTCAAGTAGTATTAGGACTCAACTGGTTGAAGTAATACAATCCTGCAATTGACTGGCATTCTGGCCATATAACATTTGAATCTACTGTGACAAATTGTGTTAAGGAGTGTGTGTGGAGCTTATTGGAGGGTTTCCAGAGAAACCCATGGGAAAGCCAGTAGGACTTGGCTTCAGCTTATAGGCTGCACCCTCATGAGATTGTGGCATCCAATTTCAGATAGGCAGATGGGAATCCCAAGGAGTCCAGAGTAGTTGGTGGGTTGAGAGGTTGGAGGGTCGATTGTGGGAATCCCGTGGAGGTCAAAGGGTCAGGCAGTGATGGGTCGGAGGTTGAGTGATAGATAGGTCAGAGCCTGTGGGCTCCAATGAGGTAAATAGCAGTGTGTTTCAAAGAGAGGAATAGAGCAGAAAATGTAATGAGATTACTGGGGGGAATCTAAGCTAATTTTCTGACTGGATTGTACAACATCTGCCAGACTATATAGACTGTGGAATGTACATATGTTATACCAAATCCAGTAATAATGAAATCCAAACTAGTAATCATGAAAGGAGATAAGTAAACACCAAATTAGGTGTTAGGAGCAGAATGGAATGGGGGCAGAGTCCAAAATGTGACAGGTCATTTGACCATAATGGGAACAGGGCTCAGTTAGAGAGCTGATGGGTTTTCTGAGTGGGGTCCGGTTGACTGATGCGTGGGACAGGGTTGGAGATAGACAGGTACGACATGCACAGGTCCTGGTGGGTATTCCAGTGACTGATTTGTGAGACAACTAAGGTTGGACAAGGACAGGTTCATTGTCCAGGTCCCAGTGGGTATTCTGGTTAACTGATAACTAGTGTGTAAAGGTTGTGGGTGCCTATAGGGTAGTGTCCGGAGTCTGGCAGGTTTTCCAGTCATAACAAATTGTTACAATCCATTCCCAGATATTTCAATATTTCAATATTCTGATGTATCTTCTGTCTCTGGAAATTAATTAATATCTGGATATACTGAACTTCACCCTTGTCTGTATTTAGTAACTTGTCCATTGACAAGTATTTATTTGTTTGTTTATGATCTTCCTGATTCAGAACTTCTATCCTAATCCATTCTTATTGTGATCTCAATCCATAGCATAATAACCAGAGAATCTATATTAGTTCCCATGCATTTGTACTTACACTTTAGATCTGATATTGACTTAGTTAGCTTATTCCTCTTCTCTTTCTGTACACTCAATATTCGGAACTCTTCAGAACTCTGAATATCTGTAAGCTCTCCAACACTTATCAGTCCTCTGAAATGAAGGACATCCAAGCATTTGTATAGTGGCACAGTATATAAGCTGAAGCCAAGTCCTGACCCTACCTAGAAGTATCCAAGTTCCTGGTTATTTTCTGATAGTTCCAGAATAAGTGCCAACATGGAACTTAACACAAATCCAACAAATCCAAATCCAATTCAATTGTCATCATTTTTCCTCAACTCCTCCATTTTCTTATTCCACACTTCAATCCTATTCCTACTTCTCTCATGCTAATATCCATCATTTCACTATAGTCACCATATTTGACCAAAATCTTTGTCAAAACCATGAAATCCTTTCTTGATATTTTCACCTCCTGTAAGCTCAGGATTATGGACAAATATCTAGGGAAAACCTGTGGATATTTTGGGGATGGGTAGGACTTGGTTTTAGCTTATGTATGTGCTACACTCTCACACAATTGTAAGTACCAACAGATCCTAGACTATATAGACTGAGTGACTATTGTACTACTAATCCAGCAAGACAAAAAGACAGAATGGGTGAACAATAAATGATGCAGGGTAGACCAAACAGGGAATAAGGATTAAGATGGAATAGGAACAAGTACAGGGGACACAATAAACAAATGAATTAATCCATGTCAAACAGACTCAGGAAGATCAGAACAAGAGATCTTCAAGCATCTAGAGAGCCTCAGTGACAGGTCATCCAAGACATCAGAGAAAAATGCTTATGGGTAGGATCCAGGGCCTAGCATGTTTCCCAATAGTAACACCTCTATAAGATCCCAAATAATGTTTTTCATCTTCAGTAATTCATTTCTCATAAATTTCAACTCTTTTTCCAAATGATTTTCTTCTGACTTCTTTCCAACAATTGAAGAAGTATTTCAGACCTTTTTGACCTAGTCAATTTTCCTGATCGAATCACACATTATACACTGGCTCTTAATCATACAGATTTCCTTTGTCCAAGTTTTCAAATCTTTTATCAATCACTTTCATCATTATCATCATCTTAATCTGACTCTTTAATGATCTTTCAATCTTCATATGATTTTTACAAGGCTTGCCTTGTGGTCTTTTCACAGTCCAATAACAGGCTCAATGTAACTGAAGACACTAATCACAATTCGAAGAAGCATTGGTCTCAAAATGCCAGTGTTATGGCACATAGTGCATCTACAGACAAACATCAATTACACTATACAAAAAACTTAAAACAACTTACAAATTCTTGGTTTTAAGACCAAATTCCAATGCATGCCTATTTACAAAATCTTGTTATATGGCTCTTCAACATCATTTTGTCATTTTTTGGAATATCTCTATAACCTTGATCAAAGTAATCCAAAAGCTACAAAGGACCATACTTACCAATCTCATCCACTTCAATATGTTTAGACCCAAAGCCTTGAAAATCTGATTTGGAGCTGAAACCTTGGAACTCAATATCAGACATTTAATAATTTGTTTGATGTAGTTGACAAAGAAAATTTTCAAAACTCCAGTCACAAGAAGGGAATACTGTCACAAATATATAAAATCAATTCTGACAGTACTTTGACTTGACTTTCTTTTGACACTATTCAACTTGATTTCTGACTCAACTTCCAATTTGTCTTAATTTGACATCATTTGTGATTTCATTTTTATGTTATATAATAGTCATTTGTTTACACTAAAAAGCATAAAAGGGCAATGAGAGGAACAAAGGTGATCAGTCAGGAAAATTTGTACCAAAGAACTTGTATCTCATCTGTCACATTTATGTTAATAATTCTAATTGTATTCTTACTGTATTATACATATCTATCATTGAACCTTTCGATGTTCTTTTCTAGAAATCCATATGTGACCCCCTTGTGTCCTTCTCTGGCCTCACATTTCATCTGCAGGATGAATTAATATTTCATCAAGAGAGGCATTATATATGTACAGTACTTGTGAAGATCCATTCCCAGAGACTCCATGGAGTATTTCCCAGACATCATATCAGGTTCTGAACCATCTTCCAGCCTAGTATCAAGATCCAGAATCCACTGGAACCCAACCCTCATCCCTCAAGTACCCTTCAACTCAAATCCCATTCTGGTATTCTGCCCTCAACTAGATACCTCCTGTCATGACCTGGAACCCATTGGACTCCACCCTTTCCCTAGCATCTCCATGTGTCCTTGGTCATTTCCTGACTGGACTCTGGCCAGACTCCCCACATTTTTTCTATATACATCTTTAATTCATGACCCAACCTTTGCTTGCTCATCCCTGTCAACCCTTGTCACTTCTCTATGCCAATGTTCCGACCTGCCTGGAAACCATGGCTTTCCCAGAAATGTGCACACTTAGTCATTATAGTGTTACAGATATCCATGGATATTCTGACTCACATCCTTTGTTCTGTAATTGGTAACTGACTGGTTGACAAATGTTCAT